TCCCCCCTCGCTGCTGTGACCCGGGGGGGGCACTGGGGACACTAAGGAGGACCAGGGATGTCAGGGTGTCCCCCCCCCTCCTGTCACCCCTCGCTGCCTTTGGTAAATTCCTGCATGCCTGACGGGGGGAACCAGGGACACTGGGGGAATTTGGGAGCCTCCTGGGGACCCCCGTTGTGGCACCTCCCTGGGGGGGGGCACAGGGGGTCCCCCAAACCCCACAGCCCCCCATAGGCCTCTCCCCTCTCTGAACCCCTGGGAATTTGGGACCCCTCGTGAGCAGTGAGGGGGGGGGGGTGTCTCTGCAGCTCCCAGGAGGTGAATTCCAGAGGGAAATCCACTGGCTGGGCCTTTCCCGGGGCTGGTTAAGGATTAAACAGCTCTGTCACTGTTTAATCCAGGCGGTGACAGGGGGCCCCTCCCGGCCATGGCAACCCCGGCCGGCCACGGGCGTGTTTGTCCCTGACCCCTCCCCATTCCCAGGCTCCTGCTTCCTGCCTGGAATGACCCTGCCCTTGGCCTCGGGGCGGCGGGGGGGCCCCTATTTATTCTATACTGTGTATAAAGCCAAGGGCCAGGGCGGAGTGAGGGATGGAGGAGGTGGAATAAAGGATGGAGGAGGTGGAATAAAGGATGGAGAACATGGCCCCTCTGTGTCCTTCGGGAATGATGCTCAGGGTCGGTGGGATCAGGAATTTTACCCTCCAGGCAAGAGGCAGGAGGGGAAGGGAAAGTACACAGGGATGGGGAAGGGAAAGGACATACTGGAGACGGAGCTGAATCTGATGGAAAAGGGGGAATTAAATAGATGAGGGGAGCAGAGAGGACAGGGAGGGGAGGGATGTTCTGGCCCTCAGGGGTGTCGGATGGAGAAGAGGGAACCACACAGACCAGGGGAGTAGAAAAAAAACAACCAATGTACAATCCTCAAATATACATCCCGGGGCTTCCAAAGGGTCCCGGGGGAACCGGGACAGGCCCGGCGTCCTGTCCGGCTGCTCTCAGTGCATTCCGTGTGTCCCAGCGGTGACACGGACACGGGGACAGCCCTGCAGTGGTGGTGGGTGATAGTGCCAGTCTGTCCTTCCCCGGGCACCCCCCGGCGTGGGGGGGTCACCCCTCTGTCCCCACACCTCGCTGTCCCTCAGCGTCCTGGGCTCTCCCAGCCCCGCGTGGCCGGGGCCACCCCCAGGGGGGGCAGAGGGGACAGTGCCCAGCCCCGTGGCCGCGGCTTGTCCCTCCCTGAGCTGCCTCGGCGAGGTCGGGGGGGTCTCTCACACGGCCTCGGGCCCGGCCAGGCCCAGGTACTCGGGGTTCTCGGCCGTGGGCGTCGCGCCGGGGCCACCCTCGGGCCCCCCGCCCTTGGGGGGGTCCTGGTTCCAGTAGTAGGGGTTGTCGAAGGCCTGGCTGAAGGGGCCGGGGGGAGGGGCCAGGTACTCGGGGTTCTCCACGGCGTGGCCGAAGGGCCCCGGGAACGGCAGCTTGGGGTCCTTGATGAGCCCGTTCTTGCCCTGGTGCGCCTTGGGCTTGTCCGGCGGGGACGGGGGCGCGCGGGGGGGACGCTCCCCGGCCTGGTTCACGTACTCTGCGGGGAGAGAGACACGTCAGGGACCCTCTGAAGGGGATGGGGTAGGCAGACTCTCTCTCCTGCCCCCTGTGGGGGTCCCACCGTGCCCTCCCTACCTGGCATGGTGCTGTGGGGGGCCGTGGCGGTGAAGCCCTCGGGGTCCTCGCTGTCCTCGGCCACCAGCCCGGTGGGATCCTCGCTGTACCGGGGCAGGGGGCCAGGCTCCCGCCCCGGAGGGCTCTGCAGGGCTGCCTTGACCCCCCCCTCCCCCTCTGGCACCTCTGGCATGGGGCTCTCCGGCCCCTCCACCAGGCCCTGGGCGGGGAAGGCGAAGGAGGACAAGCCCTCGCCCTCCTCCACCTTGGCCGGAGACTCTGCCGTGCTCTGGGAGCGGGAGAGGACACGGAGTCACCCCGAGGATCGTCCCGGTCTCGTGGGGTCACCCCACGCCTGTGCCAGGAGCAGGGGGGTCCCTCCCTGCCCCAGCCCACCCCGTACCCGCACGGAGGAGATGCGGCTGCGGTAGGTGGTGGAGGTGTCGGCGCTGAAGAAGCCGTGGTGAGGCACCAGGTACTCCTCGGCGTCCACCAGGTCATCCATGTCCTCCTCCTCCAGCAGCGCCCGGTAGAAGGTGCTGTCCATGGAGCCCGGCAGCCCCGCCAGGTCGTTCTAGGGGGGAGGGACACGCCGGTCAGTGCCCACCCCGGGGCGCTGGCAGGACGGACAGGACCCCTGGGACCCCCAAGGACCCACAAACCTGGATGACCACGAAGCGCTGGGGGTCGCGGGCCATGCGGGAGAACTCGGTGACCAACTCCCGGAACTTGGGCCGGCACTCGGAGTCGATCATCCAGCCTGGAGGGCAGGGAGCCATCAGGATGCACCCTCAGGGCCCTCCCTGTCCCTGCTCCCTCCTTTTGATTGTGTGTCCCCGTGCTGCCCCACATCCCCTCCCGTACATTTCACCATGATCATGTAGACGTCGATGGTGCAGATGGGCGGCTGCGGCAGCCGCTCCCCCTTCTCCAGCAGGTCCGGGATCTCCCGCGCGGGGATCCCGTCGTAGGGCTTGGCCCCGAACGTCATCAGCTCCCACACTGTGACACCTGTGGGGTGGGGGTGGGGGTGAGCAGCGCCCTGGGGACCCTCCCTGCTGCCCCTGGGGGTGGGGACACCCCGAGGTACCGTAGCTCCAGACGTCGCTCTGGTGCGTGAAGCGCCGGCGCAGGATGGACTCCAGCGCCATCCACTTGATGGGCACCTGGCACGGGGAGGAGGGGGAGGTGAGCAGGGCTGGGGGCTGGCTGGCACCGAGGAGGTGCCCCCCACGCTGTCCCCGTGCCCCCACCTTGCCCCCGTCGGCGTGGTACTCGGTCTCGTCGATGTCGAGCAGCCGCGCCAGCCCGAAGTCCGTGATCTTGACGTGGTTGGGGCTCTTGACGAGGACGTTGCGAGCGGCCAAGTCGCGGTGCACCAGCCTCACCTCCTCCAGGTAGCTCATCCCCTGCGGGTGGCACACGTCTGGCTGTCCCTGGCCCGCCCCAGGACCACCAGCTCCCCCCCCAGATCCCCTCAGACCCCCTGTCCTACCTTGGCGATCTGCACACACCAGTTGAGCAGGTCCTGGGAGCCGATGTGGTCCTTGTTCTCCCGCACGTAGTCCAGGAGGCAGCCGTAGGGCATCAGCTGCGTCACCAGCTGCACCGTGGAGGTCAGGCAGATGCCCAGCAGCCGGGACACGTAGGGGCTGCCCACCCCCGCCATCACATAGGCCTCCTGTGGGCAGGGGGTGGTCAGGGTGGGGGTCAGGATGGGCAGGGGCTGCTCCTGGCCTGACCACAACCCCCCACCCCCTGGCAGTGTCGCTGCCACACTCACGTCCAGGATCTCCTTGTTGGCTTTGGGTGATGTGTTCTCCCGCAAGACCTTGATGGCCACCGGGATCTTCACGCTCTCCCCATCGGGGATCCAGATGCCCTGAGGGTGGGGGAGGACAGACACACACACAGGTGAGGGGGGCGTGGAGCAGGGAGGGTCCCGCCCCACCACGGTGGCCCTCCCCGCCCCCTCACCTTGTAGACGGTGCCAAAAGCACCAGAACCCAAAACTTTCACTTTCTTGAGCTCTGTCTCCTTCAGGATCCGCATCTGGGCTTGGTTGGGGAGGGCCCCGCTGGGCGTCAGTGGCTCCACCAGCTGCGGGGCACACAGGGGTGAGGGGGGCCGGCTCCTGGCACCCTCTGGGCACTGGGGGGGGTCCCCCATTGTCCCCCCAGGAGGTCCCACCTCGGTCTCCTGCAGCAGGCGCCTCATGGTGTGCTTGCGCTCCTGCTGCCGCCGGCGCTTGACGCAGATGACGGTGATGAGGAGCAGGACGATGACCAGCAGAGCCCCCACCACGCCGGCAATGATGGACGTCACCTGGCTGCGGGGCAGGGGGGGCGTTGGGGGCGGGATGGGGTGATGGGGGACCTCCCAGCACCCCGAGGGGGTGGGGTCAGGGTGAGGCAACACCCCCACGCTCCTACCTCGGCTTCTGGTCCACGGGACACCCGTCCTCATCCCGGATGGTGCACCTGGGGACACAGCGTGTGGCACCCCACCGTCAGCAACCCCCTGCTGAGAGCTGTGACCCCTCCTCCCCTGCCCAGCCAGGGACCCCCCCTGGACTCACGAGTGGGTGCAGTTGGTGGGGCAGAGCTGGCACACCCCATCCTCGTCCGGGTATTTCCAGACGGGCACGAAGGAGGCGTCGGCCTTGACCCCGCTGGGGCAGCGCCGCACGCACTGCTGGGCGTCCTTGTAGTGGGCACAGGCCACGCACTGGTCCGGCTCCTGCGGGAGTTTGAGGGTGGGTTGAGGCACCCAGGGGTCTGGGAACACCCCCTGTGCCACCCCCTGTGTGTGTGTGTTCCCTCCCCTCACCGATCCGAAGCAGGTCTCGGTGCCGTTCTGGGGCTGGCACTCGGGGTGGCACGGCAGGCACCGCGTCCCGTTGGCGTGTTCCCGGACGGCTCTGCGGGGACAGGGCACGGGGATGGGGTCCTGGACCGCTGTGCTGTGCTGGGGGGAGGGGGCTCTGTTTGCCCTTCCCGGGGGTCTCCACTCACCCATCCAGGAGGTTGCAGGAGGCCACGCACTCCTGGCCGCGCAGGAACCGCTCACAGGCCACGCACTGGGTGGGGCCGGGGCCCCAGCAGTGCCCGTGGGCGCAGAGGTGGAAACAAACCAGCCCCTCGCTCTCTGCAGGGGGGGACACCGTCAGCACCAGGGGGTCCATCAGCCCCGGGGGGATCCATCAGAGATGGGGGGTCCACCCTCTCCCCCCACCCCATCGGGCACCACTTACCACACTGCTCGGGGGGCTTGTTGTGCGTCTGGAAGAGGCGCTGGCGGGGGTTGCGGAAGATGCTGTCCCAGGGCACCTTCTGGAGGAAGCAGAGCTGGGGGTTGTGGTGGACGAGCACCATCCCACTGCTGATCTCCTGCAGGGCCCGCAGCCCCAGCGCCTGCACCGCCAGGTCCCGCAGCGTCAGCGAGTAGGCGCCGCTGCCGAGACACCCACGGGTCACACACGCGGCCCCCCTGCGGCCCCCACGTCACCCTGCGTGTCCCCCCACGTCCTCCCTGTGTCCCCATGCCCCCCTATGGTCTCCATGTGTCCCCCCATATCCCCCCCATCTCCCTGTGTCCCCGTGTCTTTGAGTTCCCCTGTGTCCTTCCTGTGTCCCCCCGCATCCTCACATGTCCCCATGTGCCCCTGTGTCCCTCTGCATCCCCCCATGTCCCTGCGTTGCCCTCTGTGTGTCCCCTCATGTTCCTGCCCTGCCCCCCCGCCGTGTCCCCATCCCCCTCACTTGTGC